GGAGTCGCGTGCGTTGTCAGCAGAATCAGCCTACTGCGCCCTATGGGTCAGTGCAACCACGGAAGTGGTCAGAAGCAGCATGAAAACTTGTTCACGTAAACTTTTCGACCCTTTCGAAGGTCGGATTATTTTGTTTATCACTGATGCCCATTCCAAGTGGATTGATGCCCATGTCCCGTCTAAGCGAATCCAACTAACATAATAGTTAGACAGCACATGACGATGGCAACTTACGGTTTTCCAGTAATACTAGTGTCGGATATTGAACGACATTCAATAGTGTGGAATTTTCTGCTTTTATTAACTGGAATGGCATCAGCCACGTAACTACTGCGCTTTATCATCCATCATTAAATGGTTCGGCTAAGCGATCTGTGTAGTGAAAAATATGTTATTGAAGCAACCAACAGCACCGCTGCGTGTGCGTCTAGGCCGCGCCTATTTCATTTACCGAAACGTGACGAACAAATCATCATCATCATTATACACGTCAGCTAGAGGTGGGAAACACCTCAGCTACTGTGACGCAGTACATAAAGGAAAAGGAAAATAAACACAACAGTTGCATGTCAGCTGAGCTACCAGTAACGGATAGGCATCGTTCCGGTAAGCTGCCAGCCGGCTACTAGGCAGAAAGAAAAATTATTATGTTTTACCCTATGAAATGAGATCGTAGGTGGACGGGAAAGCTAAAAGGGATGGGAGGGATAAAGAAACTCACAGCAGGAACGCCGCTGAGGTCGGCTACTTGCCATGTCAGCAAGTGTATCCAGCCAAACGTGTTCACCGTCTTTTGGACCCCAACCAGGGAGCCGTGACGCTCCAACCGACGCCAGCTCTAAATTAAGGACCTTCATTCGTCTCGACCAAGTCATCGCTTGGCCGCCCCTCCTCTTCCTCCACCTACATCCCTGGTGAGCAAATAACGCACGTCGTGGAAGTCGGTGGGCTGTCATGCGCAACATTTGGCCAAGCCATCGGAGCCTGGTGCGTGAAATGACAATGCTGAGCGGTTCAGATCCCTTTTTGTGTGCCGTAAACAAGGCGTCGAACACGCTCGTTACTCACGCGGTGTTCCCACCAGATGTGAGCCAAACTGCGAAGGCACCGATGGTCGAATGTAACTAGCCTCTTCGTGTCCACCGATCTTAGGGGCCAGGTTTCGCAACCGTACAGTAAGGTCGAACGTACCGCTGCATTGTACACTCTACGCTTCAGGGCGAGAGTGATGTCGCGCCGCCGCCATAGGTGGCGAAGGTTAGCAAAAGCACTTCGAGCTTTCGCTATACGGTTCTTGATCTCGTCTTCGATCCCAAGGGTGCTGATACAGCTTACCAGGTAGTTGAATTTCCGAACGACTTCTAGCTGATCCCCACCAAGGGTCAGCGCAGGAGGCGACCCTTGCCAATCTTGGAGGAACGCTTTGCATTTCGGTGGTGCAAAGCAAAGTCCGAAGCGCCTGACAACCAGTGATAATCAGTCCAGCGCGGCTTCGCACGTCTGGGAGCTGTCACAGATGAGAGCAATATCGTCTGCATACTCCAAGTCAAGTAGTCGTTCTCCTGGGAGTAGCTCCACACCTTCAAAGTCATGTCTTGTAAATGCGATATCCATGACTTCGTCAATAGCGAAGTTGGAGAGGAAAGGTGACAGCGGGCATCCTTGTCTCACACCGCTGGAGATATTGAAGGGTGGCGACAGCTTGCCGTAAGCCCTCACTCTGACCGTGCTACGCGCGTATAATGCTCGGATGATATTTACATATTTCTCGGACACACCTTTCCTGAGTAGACAATTTCAAAGGGCACATCGATCAACCGAATCGAAGGCACCTTTGATGTCGAGGAACACGACTAGGGTGGGCCGCCAATATGTGTGACGGTGCTCCAACAACTGACGCAAGGTGAAGATGTGGTCGATGCAGCCACGACACCGACGAAACTCGGCTTGCTCCTCACGAATCTGGCTTGTACGAGCGCCAGTCAGTCTGTGAAGAATTATGGAGGCGAGTAATTTGGAGGCGATGGAGATCAGACTGATTCCTCTATGGTTGCCGCATTCCGAACGCGAGCCTCCTTTGAAGATGGGAACAATAACGGGGCGGCTCCAGTCGATTGGGACAGTCTCCTGCTCCCACAGTTTCACTGGTAATTCATGTAAAGCATCAACAAGAGCAGAGCCTCCGAATTTGAAGAGGGCTGGAGGGAGATCATCTGGCCCTGCAGCTTTGTTCAACTTCAACAGTCCGATCCCACGTTCGACTTCTGAACGGGAGGGTGGATCCAAATGGACAGCCCACTGAGCACGGCGATCACTGGCCAGCGAAGAATCGAACAACTCTAGTTGATTAAATTGCTTTTCAAAATGCTCAGCCCAACGCTCCAAACGTTTTGACAAATTGTGGATAGGCTGTCCACTCTCGTCACGTATAGTTTCACTAACACTAGGTCTCCTGCTGTCCGTTTCACGTACCAGACGGAATAACTTGCGATGGTTGCCAAGGATAGCGGCCACTTCCATCTCTGACGCACGAGCAGACCACCAAGATTCGCGGTCTCTCTTCAGGCTAGCACGGAGTCTTGCCCGGAGCTCTTTGCGTGTTTCGTCGTGTCCACTTCTAGCCTGGATATGCCGGCGAGCGTCGATAAGTTCCAGAGACTGCGAAAAGACCCAATGTCCATGTTGGCTATGACGAACAAAACTACCAGTAGAAGGCTCGTGGAATTAAGGTTAGGCCGTGGGTCAAGCACACGGTTGGAATTATTGCACAGCATCCTTGGGTGAGAGGTTTTGAAAAAGAAAAACGGGGAAAAGTACCGTCTGGTACGGGCATTAGAGACAGGCTCGCAGAAGTATCCGGTCCGATCTATATCCGTTTACCTACAGATTCCTAGTGGCAACTAGCCGCTGAATTAGAAACTACGGATAGCAGAATTGTCTGACGCCATTTAGACTAAATGCGACCGCGACGGTCTATTTCGAAGGGAAACGGTGAGTCGAAAGTGAAAACACCGGCGCTGATCGATCCACGCTTGACCGACCCTGAATCACCGCTCTAAACGCCTCTACGTCGCTGAATATTCACTTTTCATGGGTGCATAAAGCTCATTACTGACTTTACCCGTCAGCGGTGGCAAGTGGATCGTTTCTAAGCCGAATAGCTCAAACCTCAGAGCGTGCCAAGCCCTTGCCACTTGAGTGCGTACCTGTGTATGTACTGCGGATATTAGGCTGCCTGTCGTAGCTATCGATTGATGATTTCGGTTCAGCCTCCATGTGACGGACGCAACTTTCGCCTGCGCAGAGCTTCCAGTTGGTGTAGTTGCACTTACCGTTCGCTTGAAAAACTGTCCTACTAGGAGGCCGTTTCGGCGCAACTTGCTTAGTAAGTACTGTAGGCTGATCACGGAGGTGTGCGTGCTTGTGGTACAGTCGATTCTTCACCAGCGCTGATTGTATGAAGTTCATTCTTGTCTTGAATACTACGAATTAGACTAAGACATTCTACCTTAGACTTGATCAGCTTACTTTTATTCTTTATTGTCACATTGATTAACAAATCACCACGAGCTTCCTCTGGTTGTGGTGTTGTGGCGTAAGAATCACTGCCGCTAGTCAGGTATTCACACACCCAGCATCGACGGTCTCTGCATGTGCACGTGTATGTTTAGCGACTACCCAGACACTCGTGACTTTTTCTCAACTCCTTGATAGTTGAGTTGTGCATGGTGCTTGCCAGAATACATGGTGCGTGCTACCAGATGGGTGTGTTCTGTTGTAGTTGAGCCGTTCTGGCTACGAGGCATTACTGCATTCGCAGGTTTGCGTTGGTCCCCCATACGTATACCTTAACAGGGGTCGATCGTGGAAACTCTGCAAAAGACAGCTAAGGCCCATGAATAATGAACAGCAAAACTAAAAGCTAATACCTCACCACCACCGTCAGCTTGTTACTGTATAGTCCGCATCTTTATTGCACACTGTATCCCATCAAACCTCGTATTTATGATGCCTTTATGAAATGACATCCACGCTGTCGGTGCACTAGTCTTAGGCGGAAATTAGCACTAATTCAACAACATTGTCCGTCTTGGAGTGGTGGTTCGTGGGTTGACTGAATATTCTCTCCTCATGGGTTCTTGAAGCATGATGTTACCTTGAGTTGGCTTTAGACAACGGTGGGAAGTATAGTTAGCAACTTCTTGACGCTTGTGTTGTAAAACCTTGTGCTTAGCTGTAGCTTTCGTGCATAATACTTTCTACTTTTCTACGTATGTTTGTTCTACTACCTGTTGGTAGCATGCTTCGCTGGGGATGACCGCAAGAAATGTATCCCTGGAACAAGCAAGAGGTTTACTTCAAGAAGAGAAGCGTTACTTCTGGAAATCCGGTGTCGACACGTGCAACACCAACGCATGACGTTGTACTCACATCCGTGACTCTTCTGTGGTCTATGCGCTTGAGACAGCCTGTCACGTGTAGTGGCCGGTATGACACGTTCTCTTACCCCATCCAATATCGTCGGCTATCTCACTAATACCGTGACTTGGTATCAAACTTTAATCTAACGGCTCAAGGCCCAATCAATCTCACATGTGTCAAGAACAAGCAGGCTATTCGACTGTTTAGAAACTCGGAATGTCGCGGAAGATCGGTGCAGTCCGGTTACTAAGCTATCCTGTTCTGAGTACCAAGGTGAGAGTTGTTCAATTGAATTTCTCGTAAAATATTATGCGAAATGCTCAGATTGTTGGCTCTGAGAAAGAGCCAACTTTAACACAGCCCATCATAAGAAAATCTCGTTAGAGCTCAAATCTACTAGTGAAAAACTGCAGGGTGTCTCGTAGGTAGACTCACTACCCGGACTGTTAGACAACTTTCAGAAAGAATCATAGCAGCCGTATTCAACCATATAAGCGCCACACATCCGTAAACATTGTTAAACGGCTATGTGATTGCTCTTGTTCCACAGTCTAGCAAAAGATATAATTAAGACTTACTTGACGAATGCGGCGGAACACATCCTGGCTGACGTTGGCAAATATATTCGTCTCAGGATGGTTGAGAATGTTGAACGCCACAGCACAGTGATGGTTTTCCAGTGGTGAGATGTCGTTGTATCTAATGGCCAATTCTGTCCTTGCATTTATCTGATAACTATTGGAAAGTGGATGCGCTGACCCGGTTAGGTCGTTTAATAGAAGTTATATACGGTGCTAGCATAATGTTTACAAGTCGGTCGTGTTTAGTTAAAGGATACAATAAAAATGGCAAGATGTACTAGCTATTCACTAAACACATTTTATTAATATCATGGTTGAAAGAATCAACCACTTGCATCAAGCGATTACAAATGGAGCGGACTGAAAATGAGGAGGAGAACGCCTTACGGATGGTACGCAAAGGAAAGGAAATGATAAATCTACTCCGTCGTAGTACTAACGATAGGGCGCTCTTTCAAATACACTTTCAAAATATACTCATCAAGGTGAGCGCTTAGATAGGCATTGCTGTAAACAATAAGAGGACGACTAGCATTCCAATGGTTCAACGTCGACTATGTTGCGCAGACAACTGCAGTAAAGTGCTTAAGATCAGTATTACCTGTTCTAGCTGCATTAGATAGTACTGTCCGCAATGTGTAGGCAAATCCGTCCAAGAAGTGAGACAGACAAACCAAGTTGCTGACACAATTTGGTTTTGCCCCACATGTCAAGTCATTCCAGTGGTCAACTGTTTATCTTTGCTAATGAAAAAGTGCGATAGAATGGCGGAGATAATCGCGCATTTTGTAAATACTAAGATCACTCTCACGGAGGTAAATATGGCCACGATATTACCTCACCCGGCCAAAGTAAGCTCTGAGTCTAAACCGAAGAAAAGAGCTAGACGCTCCAACCGCACTGCAGCGTCTGTGATTCTAAATCCACTGGGTCACCTCACTCCCATAATTGGGCAAGCCTCAAACATGTCTGCTTCCACTTCTCCAACCATAGACGCTTCACTTGGAGATTCAGCCATGACACCGACAGCTCAGAGCCGTAGGAAATCCGGTGCGGATAACAAGCAGGTAACGTACGCATCGATTGTCTCAACAAACACACCGGGAGGGACACACATAGGTCCATCTTCAGTACCGAGCACGCGTGGCGCAAAGCAGCTTTCACCGTCAATTCCAGTGGTAACCTCTAAACAACCCGAATTGCCGGAAAAAACTATAAAGCCAACACTCGATAGACAAAATCACGCTGCGTTAACTCTCGTGTGCACCAATGTTCCTGAATCCAAATCTGGCACAATAAAAGGCAAGTTGCAAGACGATCGCAACCAGTGGAGTTACATCTGCGAGGCGATTGGTATTCGGGTTGAGCCTGCAATGCTGCAACGCGTAGCGCGTCACCCGACCTCAGTGCACTCTGGTGAACCTCGAATTCTTCGAGTAACACTAAACTCAGCAGATGAGACAGAGGCTGTTCTGCTCTCAGCAGTTCGTCTTCGCAACTCACTGAGTGGAGTGCGCATATTACCTGATCTACCTTGGAAAGATCGCCCAAAAGAAGCAGTTGAGCAACGCGGCATTGCTAATAGGGATAGTAAGAAAACAATATTTGTTCATGGTGTTCCTGGGCTTCTGCATTCTTCTGATCACGATGCACCAACACATGACCGAGAGCAGTGGTGCTACATCCGCGAAGCACTCGTGGTTGACAATGTTATTGCCAAATCCCTGACAAGAGTTCCGTCATCACCTAACTACAAGGGCTGCGGTCCAAGGCTAATTAAAGTAATACTACACTCCGAAGGAATGACGCAAGTTCTGTTGGATAGCTGGCTAAACTTTCTAGCTAGGTTGCCAACAGAGATCCGGCTAAAGGCAACAGGCGAACGACCAAAAGTCGGAAGCAATTCAATGGAACTTGCAAACGCAACAAATTCCTCATCTGCACAGTTCTGCGGAGAGACCGATACAACAGCGCCCACGACACACAGGAGGACCGAGCACAGCACGAGTGAAATGTCTGTTCAGGAACGCTCAATAATGCCATGCAACACGACCGAAATACATAAACCAAAAAACGATTAATGGTCGGCCACCTAACGGCCGGCTTAAAAACTAACACAAACTTAACATCTATCAATGAATTCCTAACAACAAAAGCCTTATCTTGCATGCACACAAACGCCCAAGACCTTCTAAGCAAGTTGGCCGAACTTAGAGAACTCCATGCCTCACAACCGCGGGACATCCTCATAATTACAGAGACATGGTTAAACCCTGAGATAACCGATTCTGAGATCAATTTACCCGGCATGTCGCTGCTTCAGACCGATAGAAGTGGAAGGGGTGGCGGTGTGATTTTTTATTATAATACAAACCTCCGATGTGAAGTTATCGATCACCCGGAAATCCGCGCTCCTGATTCGCTTTGGTGCCGCCTATGGTTGCGAAACAAGGACACATGCCTACTAGCCGTGATTTATCGCCCACCAAACTCAACTTCGGAAAAGGACTCCAAACTGAACCATGTTTTCCAGTTTGCTTTGAACAAGTCCTACACCCACATTCTTTTTGCGGGAGACATTAACGTGCAAAACAGAAATGCCGGCAACCGACGATATGCAGTTTAAAGCCTGTTTGCGAGAGCTTATTGCTAGCCACCCTCTGTACAACCACGTAACCTCTCCCACCAGATTTCTAACTGCTAACAAGCCGTCGATACTGGATCTTGTGCTCACTAACGAAGAACTCATGGTTGGCGGCATAGTTACAAGCACACCACTGGGTCGTAGTGATCATGTTACTCTACTCTTTGACTATATATGCTATGCGGAGTACCCTGAAAAGAAGGAGGAGGAGAGTGCATACTGTCACACACTAAAATGTGTTGTCTAAGCTTGTTAAGGATACATCTTGGACTTTCTTAACCGAATGCCCCCCAGATGTTGCCTGGGAAACATTTACAAGGACGTTTAGTACACTGGTAGCGCACGCATCAGAGCAGAAGTCCTTCCAACCTGAGAACAAGCATAAGTCATTTCTGATGAGCAGAACACGTAAATATATGTCCCGGAGGGATTTGGCATGGCGAGATCACCTGGACTGCCCGAATGCCGAAACCTGGACTGCATACGTGGCACATCGTAACTTCGGTGTGAAACTGATCCACGAAGACAAGGACACGCATCAGCAGAAGTTAATGAAGGGAATCTGCACGAACCGCAAACTGTTGTACAGGCACGTTAACGGCCTTCGAAAGGTATAGTGAGGGGTTCCAGCACTAGTCACGGCTGATTGGTGCATGCGATCAGCAATGGAAGCAGCTGATCTCCTACGGCTTAATTACTCCCAAACTTTCCAGCAGGTAACCAGCACAAACATTCTCCTCCTTTATAATACTCCACCATCTGGTTTAGAAAACATCACCTTCACTGCGGAAGCTGTGTTGAAGATGTTGTTATGCTTGCGTATCCACAGTTCTCCCGGAGCTGACAACATCCGACCAAAGGCTCTACAGGCAGTAGCTAGTGATCTAGCAGAACCACTGGCTGTTTTTTATCAGCGGTGTCTAGAGGAGAACCGTATTCCACCAGTATGGAAGCGAGGGGTCATCACTCCTATCCATAAAGGAGGTAGCCGCACTGATCCTGCCAACTACCGCCCAATAACACTACTTCCCGCACTATCCAAAGTGATGGAATCAATCATCGCAGATGCGCTGATGGAATACCTGGAAAGCCACAATTTAATAGCCCCAGAGCAACATGGCTTTCGTCAAAAGCATCCGTGTAATACTGACCTATTAATTGCACGTAATAGCTGGACTGAAGCTGTTGATGATGGAGTTGGAGTCGATGTCATCTACCTGGACTTTTCAAAAGCGTTTGATCGCTTAAACCATCGAATTCTCCTTCATAAGCTTCGGAATTACGGCATTGGCGATCCAATCCTGAGTTGGATTGACAATTTTCTACAAGGACGACGGCTAGTGGTGAGAGTTCGAGAAGCATTTTCTCATTCAATCGATGTGGCGTGTGGAGTACCACAAGGCTCGGTTCTTGGACCTCGTCTATTCTTAGTGTTCATTAACGATTTGGAGCGATCAATTGCTTCCGATTTCCTATTTTCGCTGATGATATCAAGATGTGACGAAGGATCAGAGGACCGGACGACCAAGAACGGCTCCAGTGCGATCTTAACACAGTGTCGAACTGGTCAGTTCAAAACGCCTTACCGTTCAACGTAGACAAATGTCACGTTGTACAAGTACGCCATAGTCATAACTACACCTATTCACTTGGCACAAATGGATTGCAGAATATCTCCCAAGAACGTGACCTTGGTGTGATCGTACAGAGTGACCTCAACTGCTCAAAACAGGCTGAAGTAGCTGCGAAAAGGGGCAACCAGCACGTCGGCATGCTGCGAAGGGCATTCGGGAGATTTGACCCATCAAGCTTCCCAATGATGCACAATTCCTACGTGCGCCCGCATGTTGTATACGCTATCCAAGCTTGGCAACCTTGGTTGAAGCGCGACCTAGAAGCGATAGAGGCACCACAACGAAGAGCAACAAAGAATGTAAAGGGCCTGCTCTATTACCACCGAAGGCTGAGTTTGTTGGGAATTTTCAGCGGACGCTATCGAAGGCTGCGCGGTGATCTCATATTAGCGTATCAGATACTGAGTGACCCCAACCACGTATGCCGCCATTTGCTGAAACATAGCCACAACACGCAGCTCAGGGGTAACTGCTCAAAATTGAAGGAACGATGTAGCCGTCTAGAGTGTCGACGGAATTACTTTTCCCTTCGGGTTTGTCAACCCTGGAACGCACTCCCAGACTCAGTTGTATCCTCTCCTACCTTGGATGTTTTCAAAAAACAATGAGCTGTTGCTCTTAGCTCCCAACATTTTGTTACCTAAACTCCTCTGTTGTGGATTACGCCAAGCATGTTTTTCAACAGGGTTTATGTATGAAATGGACCTAAGTGAGCGACCATATTTTACTTTTCTCACTCCTTACCTCAACGATCACTGCACCCCAGTGCCTTTCTGAACGTTTACGCTCGATAACTTTTTATTTTACACTGATGTTAATTATCAAACTATTCATCTCGGCAGACGTTCGATCGATGACCCAGACATATTTTGATTT